CTCATGCCATTAGAAAGAGGATCATGAAAAACCTATAAAAAGATGGTTCATGAAATTTTAGTTCACTCATAAAGCTAAAGTCCGCCTGCTCTAGCAAAAAATGCCCACTGTGAAATAGTGATCATAACTAGTAAAGTCATAAAATTAATGGCGTGGGTTAAAATCATGCTCTTAGTTTCTCCTGCTTGGTAATGAGCCATATTCATCCGCTGGAAAACATTACACGTCAAACTGTATCATTTGATATGAACTGCATATATTTACAATTAATTTTTGTTTAACTTATATCTTTTTTAGCTATTTATAACAGACAAAAGAAAATCAACATATTTACAATTAATCTTCATTTAACGTAGATCTATTACACTATGTGCACCTTTCAAAACACATAACATTATTCTCCCATATTCTTGCAGGCTCCTTTTTTGACAGTTTTTCAGTGTTGATCACTCCCTGCATATATACACAAAGTAGCACCCATGCGCACTCGCTTGGTCTGTCACACTAATATCTGTGTGTATGTACGTCCATTACACATCTCAGTCACTATGTGGATGTATGTTTGTCACACCAGTGTATGGACAAACATACGCACACGCGTTTCAAGCATCGATTGAATTTCTGTAATTTCGTCGTTTATACGCGTGAACGAATTTTGAAAAAAGCTCTACATTTTTTATAAAGCTGGCGCGTTGGCCGATCTGATGGAGTGTGAATTATCGATATAGCCCGATGAGTGAATTGTTGATAATGGATGTTGTTGAAATGATACATGTTGTGACTCTACCATCGTAGGATAATATTCCTGATGCTGTGCTAGGGCAGCTCTGGATGACGAGGTTGAAGGAGAAGGTGCTGCACCAGCTCCTGAGGCGATTAATTGTTGAGTGATTAACGTCAGAGCTTGCAGATGACTTGGAAGCTGTGATATTGATACGATGGTAGCAGGAATTACGGTGGCAGCTGTTGAACCAGTGAATGCCGCAGGTGCTGATGTGGATAAATCTGAGTTAGACCATGCGTCATAACGATTTCGCTCTGATTTACTGCGGATAGGAAGCAGTTGTTGTTGAGAAACACGATCTAATACTTCTTGAACTTTCTCTTCACCTTCAAGGATCTTAGCAGCAGCTTTAGATTTTGTGGACTCGGACATCGTACTTTGAGATTCTGGACGATTTCTTCTCAAACGAAGGCAACAGCGAACGAACGTCTTGTTTTGGTAAAAATGTTCTTTTAAAATATTATTTTATATATATTTCCCTTTTTCTTCTTTTTAAAACTATTGTACAATTGAACGATAGGAACAACTAACAGATACGGATGAATGCGACGTGATGTTGTATGTTGATATATGTTGTATGATGTTGTGTGTGGTGTGTGAATATTGATCACCAAAAATTTGTCATCGTTCTTGAGAGTGAGATGAGCGGATTAGTTATTTATAAATTTCCCGGGTTTACGGCACCAATTTGCAAGCGCTGTATGTATTCAAACGCTGTACAACTTCGCTCACTCAAGTTTGAATTTGGAATTTTTAATATTTTATTTTTCTCAAGAATTTGACAAGTTGAAAAAGTTAAAGAAAGAAAACTAAATAATAATTGGATCTGAACTAGACCACAAAAAATGTACATAATGATCGAAAATAAAAGTTGGTTACAAGTCAAGTTTTTTGTAACTAAAGAAACAATTATCAATAATGAAAATTAATTAATAATTGTTAACAATTATTGTTTTCGCACAGGAAAACAATAACGGTTAATAATTTCGATTCGAATCTTTTCTCTAAATAATTTGTGCGCTTAAAGTACGAAGGTTGAAATGTAGGAAGGATGAGAGTGATGGATGTTTTCTATACATGGAGTACAGCCAGTCAGAGTATAGCAACAACTACACTCTCATTTACATGGAATGCGCACACAATAAGGTTCGCGACTGTATTACAAGTTTCTAGTATTCATCTTTTCATATAGTTACAACCTCATTGATTCTTACAGTCGAATTAAGATTTCCATGTATTTTCCGCAGTTTTCATGTAACGGGTCCTCCGTGACCGTTACACCCCCCACCCAGAAAAGGTCAATTTTGGCCAAAAAATCGATTTTGAGATATGCACATGGAAAGATAGCCTGAAGTGTCTGCTTTCAGAATCTATATCGCTTTTGGTTACAGAATTGAGTTTTCGAGAATTTTGAGCAAGTTTTCTAGGAGCCCCAGAAAATTGGGTCTTCAAATAAGCTTTTTCCTGAATAATCACGCAATTAAAATTTTTCTTAACACACAGATTAGTAGAGCAAACATTTCGGATCAAAATAAGACCTCTCACAACTTTATATGACCTTGCATCAAAAAGTTATAAGCATTTTTCTAGAAGTCCTAAAATTGAGCATTTTATACAGCGTTGAATATACCGTTTTCTCTACATGGAAGTCATACCTGAAGTGCGTACCAGATTTCTCTTACAGTTCTAATGATATAGATTTCGGAGACAGGTCAAAGTGTAGCCATGACCTACCGCTACAACTTAACAGAGCCAGATTTTCTATTTTCGGTTTCATTTATTGAGAAAGAAAAGGCTTTTCGAAAAATTAACCCTGATTTTTTGAAATTTTTGAAAAACATCTTAACCAAAAATGAATAAAACAAAGTTTAAAAAATCAGGATCTGTTAAGTTGTAGTGGTAGGTGTTGGCTACATTTTGACACCAACCCGAAATCTGTATCATTAGATGCAGAGGAGAAATCTAGGACGCACGGACACCTACTTTTTGACCCTTAATGTTAGGATAACTCTTGAACAACTTAATATTTTGCGCTCATATTTTGACTGTGAACTGTCTAAGACAGGACACATATTCTCTGAAAGTTTGAGCCAGATCGGATGCTCTGGGACAAAAATAGATTTTTGGGTGGGGGGTGGGCCTTAACTAATTACATTATATTAGTTAATATATTTATATTATAACTATATAATATACCACTTTTCGTTTTGCGTTACTTTCATTAGAATAAGAAACACTAATGTTTGAAAATAAGAACGCTTATGTTGAATGACTACTGTTTGCTTAAAACGATAAGTAATGTGAATCACATGGATTCGCGCAGTCCATTGACTGTAAGTCGAACGGATATAGTGACGGGAATATTATGCATTTTATTGTTAGTCTCTTGGCCGTTGAGTTGGTGATAGTTTTCGTTGTAGCATTAGTCTCAAGTAACGCGCGTTTATTTTATTTTTTTCTTCTTTTGTTACTGATACTTATTTATTTGCTTTTCGTCTTTCTGTGTCTGTTATCAGTTAGACCTAATGTGTATATATGTGTGAAAAAAGCAAGCTGATGTTTGTTCACTATAGTCATGTATGACTCAGTCCTCTAAATGTTTGTGCCTCTGTTAGTTTAAATTGGAATGTTAGAAATTAGCTGATGTTAGAGGGTAAAAATACACAGTTGATTGCAATTAATACTTATTCATGTGATATGAATACGCCAACAGTGTTGATACTGTTCGAGTTGCATGATTACATAACAACTTGTCCTGTTTCTTCATGAATGAAAGGATATCTCTGACATAGACTCAGAAGACTCCAAACTAGAATATTAAAAGCAAAAATTTGACGCTAATCTTTAAACTAATACAGTCATTGGATCCTGTTGCATAGGAACTATTTGTTCGGTGCCTTTTCTAGGTCCACAGACGTTTCTAGTACCCATCGGTTTCAAGCAATCTACTCAATGGCAACACAACCGATGGGAGCAACTGATCAACCACGAGCTCAGTGGTATTGGAAATCGAATTCAAATCCGTCGTCAACAAATGAAAAAGATGAATGGACGAAATACTCTGATATCGAATCCGCGATTATCGAAGAAGCATTTAATGGTAACAATCAAACAAAACTAGCTGAACTGGATAATTATTTGATTAGCTTAAACGATTCCATTCAAATTAGTAAATCCGCTCCAAATAAAAAACGGCAAATAAAGCGAGTTCTAATCAACAGAAATGAAATCCAAGGTTTAAGAGAGGAAAGATTCTTTCTTCCACCACCGATGAGTAAAACGTTCAATTATGAATCGTGCACAGATGCGTATACTTTTCTTTCGCAGTGGAAAAAAGGTAAGAAACTTTCCGATGCTGAAATACTGGAGCAGGCAGTGAATGGAATAATGATCGAGGGAAAACAACTAGGTCAACACTGTGAATCTGAATCACAAAATATAGCACGCAAATTGATAACCGTGAAAAACCAAGACAGAAAACTAATTTATAAGTGTTGTATTAACCTATACACAATGGAATGCTTCCTATACAAACTAATAAATAAAGCACTGAGAGAAAACGACATGAGCAAAGTAAACACTCTCGGTCCATTTTGCTATATTTTATACAGAACCTGGCTAACAACAGATACAAAATATACAGCGGAAATCTATCGAGGTGTAAACATCGATCAGAATATGCTTAACTTGTATCAGGAAGCCATAGGACAGAAACGATGCTGGAACGGTTTCACTTCGACCAGCAGGAACCGTCACCTAGCCGAAATCTTCGGGAATATCTTATTCATTATCGACGCGACCGACTCCGGTGGCATAGACATATCGCCACTTTCTAATATCCCCGACGAAGAAGAAGTCCTACTGCCTCCAGGAACAGTATTTAGAATCATGGAAGTCAACAGAAACACAACCAAAAACCATATTTATCTGAAACTAATCAATACAAACTACACATCATTAACGTCAAAATTCAATCTTTTCATGCCGATCTCCATCTCGTCATACCAGCATTGCTGTAACTAATGTGAAATGTCACCTGCCGCCATCAGCCATCTACAAGCTACATGAATAGCATATTATTTGACATTCTTCACCAGATGCATTATCGGCCATTCATTTCCTGGTGCCCTCTACGTCGTCAGATGAGAGTAGCTGTGACCATAGTGAAATAGCATCCGGTGCCATGGAACATCTAGGAGATAGATGAATCGTCCCGTTATTTGCATTCTTCACTACCTGCACCATCATTGATTCAGCTCTTGGTAGCGTTGTCGTTTTCGTCAGATGACGAGTTCTGCCATGAAAGTAAAATGTCATCTGGTGCCACGGAACATGTACAAGACAGATGAATTGTTTTGTGATTTGCATTCTTCACTACCTGCATCATGATTAAATCAGTTCTTGGCGACCTCCTAGTGATCAGATCAGCATAGCTGTGACGAAAGTGAAATGTCATTTGGTGCTGTCGAACATCTAGGACATAGTTGAATAGTGTGCTGGTTACCATTCTTCACTAGCTGCATCGTTATTGCTTCAGTTATTGGTGACCTTCTCGTCGTCAGATGAGTATTGCAGCGACGAAAGTGAAATATCACCTGGTGTCATCGAACATCTAGAGACAGATGAATAGTCTCGTTATTTGCATTCTTCACTAGCTGCATCATCAATGATTCAGTTCTTGGTGACCGATAAGCATAGCTGTGACGAAAGTAAGATGCCATCTGGTGCCATGGTATATCTAGGAGATAGATGAATAGTGTGATGGTTGGCATTCTTCGCTAGCTGCGTAATAATTGATTCACTTCTTGGTGACATCGTCGTCGTGAGATCAGCATAGCTGCGACAGAAGTGAAATATCATCTGGTGCCACGGAACATGTACAAGACAGATGAATTGTTTTGTGATGGTTATTTGCATTCTTCAACTACCTCCATCATCAATGAGTCAGTTGTTGGTGACCTCGTCACCCTCAGATGAGCATAGCTGTGACCAAAGTAAGATGACACCTGATGCCATGGAATATCTAAGAGATAGATGAATAGTATGGTACTACGCATTCTTCACTAGCTCCATCATAAATGATTCATTTCTGGATGACCTCGTGATCGTCAGATGAGCATAGCTGTGGCGAAAGTGAAATGTCATCTGGTGCCACAGAACATCTGCGACACAGGTGAATTGTTTCGTGATTTGCATTCTTCACTACCTGCATGATCATTGTTTCAGTTGTTGGGGGCCTCGTCGTCGTAAAATGAGTATTACTGTCATGAAGGCAAAATGTCATATGGCGCGATGGAACATCTAGGAGATAGATGAATAGTCTGCTGGTTGCCAGTCTTCACTAACTGCATGATCATTCAATTAATTCTTGGTGACCTCGTGGTCGTTAGATGGCTATTGCTGGAACGTAAGTGAAAGGTCTTCTGATGCCATGGAACATTTAGAAGATATATGAACAGTCTCATTATCTGCATTCTTCACTAGCTGTATTATCATTTACTTAGTTGTTGCTGACCTCGAATTCCTCAGGTGAGCACATCTATGACGAAAACGAAATGTCATTTGGTGCCATGGAACATGTACGAGATAGATGAATGGTATAATCTTCATCTCCACTCTTCGCGAGCTGCATCATCTATGATTCGGTTTTTGGTGACCTCGTCGTTGTCAGATGAGCATAGCTGTAAGGAAAGTCATATGTCATCTGGTACTATGGTACATCTAGAAGGTAGATGAATGGTGTGTTGCTTGGCATTCTTCACTAACTGCATTATTATTGATTCACTTCTTGGTGAACTCGCCGCCATCAGGGTGATATTGCTGCGACGAATGTGAACTGTGAGATGGTGCCATGAAACATCTGAGAGATAGATGAATAGTTCGCTGGTTGCAATTCTTCGCTAGCTGCATCACCGTTGAATCGGTTCTTCGAGACCTCGTCGTCGTCGGATGAGCAGAACTGCGACGGAAGTGAAATGTCATCTGGTGCCATGGAACATCTTACAGATAGATGAACAGTATAATCTTAATTGCCATTCTTCACTAGGTGCATCGTCATAGATTCAGTTGTAGGTGGCTTCGCCGTCGTCAGATGAGTACTGCTATTACGAAAGTAAGATGTTATCTGGTGCCATGGAACATCTAGCAGATAGATGAATAGTGTCGTCATTTGCATTCTTCACTAACGGCATGATCATTGATTCAGTTTTGGTGACCTCGTCGTCCGGAGATGAGGGTAGCTGTGAGGAAAGTGAAATGACATGTGATGCCAGGGAACATGCAGGAGATAAATGAATAGTATAATATTTGGTATTCTTCACCAGTTGCAGTATCACTGATAGAGTTCTTGGTGGTCTCAGTGTTGTTGGATGAGTACTGCTGGGACGAAAGTGAAATGCTGCCTGGTGCCAGGAAACGTCTAAGAGATAGATGAATAGTATAATCTTTGGCATTCTTCACTAGCTGCATGATCATTAATGTATTTGTTCCTGATCTCCTCGTCATGAGATGGACATAGCTGTGATGGAAGTGAAATGTCATGTGGTGCCATCGAACACGTGGGAGGCAAAAGAATTGTTTCGTGATTTGTACTCTTCAGTAGCTGTATCACGACTGATTCTGTACTTGGTGACAGAGTCGCCGTCAGAGGAGTATTGGTGCGACAAAAGTGAAATGATATCTGGTGCCATAGAAAATCTAGAAGATAGATTAATAGCATGATGCTAGGCATTCTGCACTAGCTTCATCATCAATGAGTCAGTTGGTGGTGACCTCGTCGTCGTCAGGTGAGCATGGCTGTGATGAGAGTGAAATGTCATTTCGTGCCGTTGAACATGTAGGAGATAGATGAATAGTCTGCTAATATGGATGGTTCATGAATTGCGCGGATTGATTTGACTGCTGTTGTTTTTGTGGTCGGTATATGCGGAGAGCTGGAAGAGATGCACTATGCGAGCTAGTGGGGTTGGTTGTTGACTGGACATATGAATATCGCGTTGGGGTGTAGGTGTTTTGAATAATTAATTATTGAACGAAGGAATTGACTCGTTGACAAAATTGTTTTCTCGTTTTGTGAATTGCAATATCGGTTTTGTGTGTTGTTAGTAAAAGTTTGGAGAAAATCGTCTGTCAACGAATGATAAGGTGTTTACTTGACAATAATCTGTTCAGCAGCACTCAGTTTGGTTGCAGACCTTCACGTTTGACCAAGGACGCATTGCCAAGAGTAACTCATGCTCTGTATACTCGATGTGGGCTATTAGAAAAATAGATTTTCATTTTTGGCCAAACACTTTCGAAATAGACAAAAAGCCTGTGGAATTGCTGCTGAAAAACACGCTTTTCTGAAAGTGCTTGGCCAAAGATGAAAATCTATTTTTCTAATAGCCCACATCGAGTATATGCGAGATATATGTCATCCCCCGTCCTGTAACCCCGTGGAATGGTGCAGCACGTACTCAAACTTTGAAAAACGAGGAAAATCGCCTTTAGAAGTTTATTTTTTCTATCATTGAATGTTTTTTAATCTCAGTGAGAACCACTTCATCGGATAGAGCTTGAAAAGATGCGTCGAATGCATATCGTACGGTCTTGTGGTGATATGACTTTATAGCGAAAATATGGTTTAGAAAAACGGTCTACTTTTCGGAAAAACTATTTTTTAAAAATTTCCCTGAGAGCGTACTTAATATTTTGGAACTTTGAGTCCGTTAGTGATTTTGTAGCTCTATACATATAGAATCTAATCTGACGGTATCAGCTCATGAAAGTGTTTCACTAAAAAATGGTGAAAATGTCCAAAAAAGGTCTATTCTGCTGGAAAATGGGATCTTCACAGGTCTAGGAGGTTGCCGTGCCGTTGTTTTAGAATCTTTTAAACGTGATATTCGTCATCAGGAGCCCAAATTGTACTAGTCTTGTTACTCTCGAACAATCCGGATAAAGTCGATGTAAACGTGGTACGTTTGCGAAAGAATCACCCAACACGATGTGCATTTTCTGTTTCTATTTAGAACACGTTCATACGAATACATGGACTTTTTAAGTAAAGTCAGAAAAAAGATATGGGCGCTGCCGAAGTACAAAATCAAGACATATGTTTGTAACAAAATATGTTCGAATCTCGGTTTTCTCGCTAGAAACAACCGTTTATCACAGAATCTAGTGAAGTCGAAGCTTCATCTTAATTGAAAAAGAGTAAAGGAAAGGTCGTTTGAGTAATTTTTAGCTGAAGTCTTTTTTTACAATCTGTTGCTACACATTGATTTTCCATGTTCTTCAAATAGTGGAAGAAAGATGAGAACAGAGAGATATAAGCAAAGTCTATTTATCCGATGCTTTTATATTGCGTTGTCTAAATGTTATTGCCTATACTCTACACGTGATAGGAAAAAGATGTAATATCATATATGAAAAGAGAAGAAATTCATCTTCTTTTTCACCAAACACGTGTATATGTTACGGACAAAATTCAAACTTAAAGTTTGACCAGAGTTTATTCGGTCAAAATCTAAATAAAAACATAATGCTGTGATGATCCATGAAAAATTAGTATTTTCCTATATAACTATTTCCTTGACGTTAGTTAGATTAGAAAATGCTTGTATGTCCGTCCACACGGACAAATCAAGAACCTAAAAACTCTTGAGGGATAGATGGCTGAAACTTGTGAACTGCGGATAATTCAGCACGGCAAATCAAACGGTACAACAGGAGGATCTCCAGGAGATCTTCAGAAGGTTTTTGAAAAATATTTGGTTTTCTGTTGATTTGAAAGTGCTCGAATTTTACATCTCGATTTACCAAATAGTCTTCACTTTTCGCCTATTAGAAGAAGATTTTTTGAACTCAATCTTTAGATCACACAACGATACCATACAGGTAACTCAACGTGCTCTACTAGATAGACAAATCAAAATCTCTTCTTCTTGGATCTTGCGGTGGATCTTCAGGGATCCACTCCACGCGAACTCTGGGTTTTCTTCCGATTTTTGTTACGATTTGAAGAAAATGAATGACAGTATGCTCAGGTTGTCACAATTGTGAAAACATCTTCCCAGTTCCTGTCGGTTTCAGACTTTCTCAGAGGTTTTTATCGTTTTGTACTTGACAAAATCAATTTCGATTTTCTTGTTGTCTATTTTCGATTCCGCGTCCCGTTTCTTGCATTTTCTTGACTTTCGCAGAAATATTTCACTCAGAGATTAG